TTGTTATTACACAACATCGACTTGATTAGTAAAATAATGACTTTTTATATCACCGGAGTTATTCAATTATTTTCACCAATCATCAGGTGAAGCGATACTTTTTTCCAGTAACTGTACTTAACTGTATGTGTACATGGGACAGTTCTGATTTATCAGTTCTGTAAAGTGTAATGGACTAGTTTTAACTCAATCTTTGATCTTATTTGATTTTAATATTAAGTGGAAATGGAAAATACTAATAATTTCAAATTTATCTTGTCACTTGTTAGTAATTAAGGAAATTAATTTTTGTGTAATAAAAATTGTGATACAAAATTACTAAAATTCTTTTCTATGACTATTACTATTACTATACATAATTTTGATCTTCACCAAATTTCTGAAATTACAATTACGTTATTTTCCAAAATGTCCCAATGGTTGCCAGGTGAGTCGCAATCATCACTAAAAGATTATTTATACTCGGTCATAAAATACAAGCCTGTTGTCTTGCAGAGTACTTTCTAAACTCAGGATTTTTAGAATTTTTGTCAAAACAAAATAAAAAAAATCCATCTGTTTTTAAATATATATATTGTCTGAGATTTGCATTTCAGGACAAATATATACCCTTCAATATATATATATTTTAAAAGACCAAATTTTGAGTATAAGCTTAAAATCCTATAGTTTCACAAGAGAGAAAGCATTTCCTCAATCATGAATTTTGTTTTCGTGAGCAGGTCATTTCCCTCCTTCACAACAACCTTCGTTTCCAAATTTTCCAGGACCACCATCGGTTCCTCCAAATCAATATATACCACCACCAACATATCAAAGACCTTCAATTCCTCCACAATCACAACCTCCAATTGATGATTTATCTTTGGCATTCGATAATCTTGCAATGACTTTAAGAGCCACAGCTGGTCCACAAGAATTGGATGATTTTCAATTGTCTCTTGGAATGCTTATGCATGATTGTTCTCAATCTAACATTCAGGCATATATGATTTTTTTTTAATATATTGAAATTTTGCAATTTTACAAATATTAATGTCTCAACTTTTAATTTTTATATAGCGTGGCAAAACATGGATATTTGAACATTGTAAAACTTCTAATCATTATGATGTATTAATGAGATTTATCATTGCTCTTTCAAGATCTCGACCAATATTTCAAGATAAACTTCATTTAATATATCTTGTAAATGATGTTATTTATCATAGGTAATAAATGAATATTTAAATATATATATATTATATACTACAATTAATTTTTTAAAACATTATAATTTAAAACTTTTTTTTCACTTTAATATAAGTGAGCGTAGACAAGAATTTTGGGTTAAAGATGCACTTTATCTACATTTGCTCCCTTTACTAAGAGCTGCATTCCATTTCATGGAAGCAAATGAAAAACAACAAGAAAAAGTTCTTAAAGTAATTAATCAATCAATCTATTATATTATATTATATTATATTATATATTATATTATATATTACTTTGTCAATAATTGTTGATAGTAAATTAAAAACCTAATTCCTTAATTAATAGGGGTTTAGAGGAAAATTAAACTATCATTAATTTCTAGTAATGTAATATATATATTTATGAATTAAAAAAAAAACATGAAAAAAAATTAAATAACCATGAAAAATTTTTAAAAAACAATTACATTTAAAAAAAAAAAAAATTCAAAAAAAATTTTTTATAAGAACATGTGTGTATTGTGTGTAAAAATTAAAAAGTGCGGATGTGTATATATGTTTTTTTTTTGTGTGAGTGTGAATGGGTGAATTTGTGAATTATATATGATGAATGATTAATAAAATATTATTTCTTTCTTCCAATTATTATTCTTCTAATTTATTCTTTGGAAAAAAATATTGTTTTGCCTTACTTGTACAAGATTATACACAATCAAAAAAAAAAAGGATCAAAAAAATTTTGATGATATCAAGCCCAAACCCGACAAATATAATCCATTGTCATTTA